TTTTAGAGAGAGACACACACAGAGAATCCGAAGCAGGCTCCAGGCTCCGAGCTGTCAGCACAGAGCCCATTGTGGGGCTCGAACTCATGAACTGTGATCACAACCTGAGCCGAAGTCAGACACTTAACCGACTGAGCTACCCAGGCACCCCGAGAGAAAGAATCATAAACAGACTCCACACTCAGCACGGACCCTGACGCAGGATCTACCCCACGACACTGGGATCGTGATCTGAGCCCAAATCAAGAGTGGGATGCTCAACCGAGTGAGCCACCCAGGTGCCCTGAAATTATGGTAGACAAAATAACACCCCCTTGAAGGTGTCCACATCCTAGTCTCCAGAACCTGTGAATGTATTATCTTACGTGGCACAAGTGACTTCGCGGACATAATTAAACTAAGGATCTTGAAATGGGAGATTATCCTGGATGATCCAAATAGGCTCAGTGAATCACAAGAGTCTTTATAAGGTAAAGGGGGAGACAGGAGAGTCAGAATCATGACAGTGGAGAGGGAGACATGACAACAGAAGCAGAGCTAAGAGACAGAGAGATTTGAAAATGCTGTATTACTGGCCTGGAATGTGAAGGGGCCATGAGCCAAGAAATTCAGGCAGCTTCTAGAATCTGGAAAAAGGAAAGAAATGGATTCTCCTCTAGATTCTCCAGAAGGAATTCAGCTCTGCTGACACCTTGAGTTTAGGGCTCCTTGCCTTTAGAGCTAGAAGATAATAAATTTGTAGTGTTCTAAGCCACTGCCCTTACAGCAATTGGCTACGGCACCAATAGGAAATGAATACAGGGCCTTAGTCCCTCAGCTGAAGAATGACATTGGCCCACAGTGACAACATGGTATCGTGGGCCACTGATAGGCTTGGACCCGGTCCAAAAGCTCATGACCTTTCTCTGAATATAACGGGTGAAGGGCATTATATAAATTAGGCTTGCAGTTGGCTGCGTGTAATAGAAACGCAAGTACAGTTGCTCAACCAAATAGAGGAACTATTGCTCGGATACCAGGAAGTCGAGAGGAAGGCGGGCCTGGGCAGGTGCAATCGCTTCCAGGACTATCAGGAAATAGGCTACATCCGTCCCGTGTTCTGCTACCTTAAGGTGAGGCTTTTACCCTCATGCTTTCACGGTGCCTGTTGCATTAAAATCACCTGGAGGACTTATTTAAAAACACAAGTTTGGGGACGCCTGGGTGATTCAGTCGCTTAAGCATCTGACTTCAGCCCAGGTCATTATCTCATGGTTCGTGGGCTCTCTGCTGTCAGCACAGAGCCTGCTTCGGATCCTCTGCCCCTCTCTCTCTGCTCTCCCCCACTTGCGCTCTCTTTCTGTCTCTCTCAAAATAAGTAAATAAACTTAAAAAAAATTTTTTTAATTAAAAAAAAAAACAACATAAGT